TCTGACTTGATAACCATAACTTTCTCTTGTAAAAGAAACTTGTTGAAATACTTTATGCTTAGAATTCTATGTTGTACCAAATATATAACATTGAATAAAGCCATTAATAATAATAAATGATCCAATCACCTGGAAGGCATTAATGATGCACTTGACTTCAAACACGGTAACGAAATATATGATATTATACTAATTTGATGATGATGAGTTGGAAGATGACATAGAAGTAGATCAATTAAGGACAATAGATGTGAAAAAAAATGTTTACAATCTTTCATAAGAGCAACTATTTATCAATTTGCAAAGGTTTAAGAATTAGAGGTCAATGAAAACGCGGCAACAAGACATTAAAATAAAGAATAACATCAACTATCCAACTTTAACTATAAAAGAAAGATTCACAAATAAAACAAACAAAGCTCAGATAAGCAACAAAAAAAAACGGTTTATCGATTGAGATCATAAAATGTGATGTTAAGTAACAAAATATGAGATTGCGGTTACAAGGTCAAATGAAGAAAAAATTGATAAATTTCTTTTCGTATACATAGTTAAATCACTTTATACACGCTTCAATATGTTTACCTGGTAAATTAAATATCAAGTCAAAATAGAACAATAAAAACCCTATCATAATATCAGTTCTTCATATGAGTTAACGTTAATCATGTGATAATCGCGGTTTCTAATTGTCGGCATATAATATACATTAAAATAGATAAGGTTGAACCGTTGAATACGCTATGCTCATCAGATTTTAAAGAGCCTGCATAGTGCTGAATTCTCCTGAAAATAAGTACAATGAAAAATCAATTTTTTGCAAGTCATATATATATATATATATATATATATATATATATATATATATATATATATATATATATATATATATACTTAAACAAGTTTCCGTCTGTAGAATCGATTATATTGCAGTTATTATCATCATTAACATCATTTTTATCAGTACAAGCATCAATATGCTTTTGAAAAAATGACACTCATAATAATATGTAAATGTATGCCTGCTTTTGTCTCGAAAGAATTCTAATTTACTATTTTTGCTACACTACGAATATTGGGAACTCAATTGTTGAACGCATGGGACTCAAAACAAACGTCAACCAATATCAAAGTCACAACCTCTAATACGAACGTCAGGACATTTCTACTATATGGAGCTGGAATTTCAAGAACTACCACAAACATCATAAAAAATGTACAAGTATTTGTAAACAACTGTCTACTCAAGATACTCAATGCCTTGTGTTGACTGGAAACTATCAGCAACAAACTAATGTAGGAGAGAATAAACCAGCCTTCAACTGGAGAGAAAGTTAGGAAAAGACGTTGGAAGTAGATAAAACATACATTACGAAAATCACCAAAATGCATCACGAGGCGAGCGCCAAAGTGGAATCTTGAAGGGAAACAGAAAAGAGAAAGGCCAAAGAACACACTGCGTTGAAAATTGAAAGCAGACATGAAATGTATGAATAACAACTGGAAAGTAGTAGAAAGCACTGAAAAGATATTCACGTATATCCGTACCTTCTCATAAAGTGTAAATGAGATAGTTTTTAACTTTAAATCGATAATTATGATTAAGCGAGAAAGTGCCATTCGATACAAGGCTACTAGAAGTACATATATATTGCTCAAACTGTAAAATGTGGTCACATCACTAATAAAATAGATTGTGTTCTGTATCATCCACAGATTTTTACCAAATATTATAAGTTTTAAAAAACCTGTTTCCTTACGCATCATATTTTCATGTGCTCATCTCAAAGTTAATCTTTTAAACAATGCTGTACAATCCATATTTTAGTAAAAAGTTAACATCATAGTTAAATGTACGGTTTGATACTGATGATGGATTTATGAACGATCTTTGTTTACGGTTTCTAATAGATCTCATCTAACTAGATTAAACTCTTCTAGTTCTGAGACAAAGCTAGTAATTTTATTTTTCTTTAAAAAAGCCTTATCCCAGAATATGTTACTTTAGATTAAAACTTTAGAGTACTCATATAAGTTACTAATGTATTTTACAGTAAGTGAAATTTACCAAACTAAGTTACAAAATTCAAAAGATTACATGAAGTTAAAACAGCTCGAATGTATTTTTTGTTTAGAGCCTACTGAATTAAAAAAAAATGGTTGTTATCATACAACAGATTGCCATTAAAAATTGATTACAGATCAGTTTATAAGAAATCATTTGATTGAAAGATTAAAGAAAACTCTTGAAAAATATTCAACTAAAAACGACTCAATGAAGACAATAGTGGACAGTCGAGCAGTATCATGGATTGGTTGAAGTTAGACATTAACACAGTAGAACGCCGGCTAAGTAGTCTAGGCGTTCGCGCGCTAGACCGAAGCTTCTGGGCTTGAATCCCGCTTGCAGGATCGTAGATGCGCGCTGCTGACGGCTCCCACACTAGGATGAAACCGCAGTTCATTACCTTCAGGTTTCAAAGGTGGTTTAACATTGACGCATCCGTGATATCGATCTAAATTGAAAAGTACTATCTTAAAACAGAATGAAAAGAATTGCACCTAAGTATTGTGTTCGAAAATTATTTAAACGTAGTTCTTATTTTTATACAGGGTTACAAAGAACATCCTTTTCGTTCTTGTCAACTTCAAATACTCTTGAGAAGACAAATGTACTCACTTAATAAATAAACATACTTCATACAGAATGACAATAACTAACTATTCTACCGGTATATGATATCGTGTTTTTGTGTCAAGTGGATTCAAAGTAGTTAATAGATAAGAAACTTCAGTTTCCTTAGAGTATACATTCTCAAAAAAAAGATTTCTGTTATGAACATTGATAATCTCTAGTCTCCGGATTATATGATAACATGTGTTCTTCTCTGAAAAATGTTTCATTCATACGAACTGTTGAAACGTTTTCTTAATCCTTCCTTTCTGTGTGTAATAACAATAATAATATAATTACTATTATTATTAATGGCACCTATTTACTGTTTTACTTCATATAATTTTTCACATGATTACATAGTTGTTTTCAAGTATGTTTTCTTCCCTTGTATCTTTATAATTACCTAAACTATTTCAAGATATCATTTCCCTTAATCTGTAGATACAAATTAGTTCTACATTAACCAATTAACATTAAATATAGTATACTGTGAAGTTAGATCAGATATTATTGCCATGATTAGATTACAACATAAATCCTTGTATAGTCAATACATATGAATGTATACATTGAATATTCTAATGTTTTTATACTTCATTCTAATACTGTAATCCAACTTGACTATATAAAGAGTTTACATGAAATAAACTATATTTAGTTATTAAATTAAACAGACTTAATCATTTTCCCTACAAAATATTTTGTTCAGTCATTACGAGTTTTTGGAATCATCGAAATCTTTGAAAAATTCAACATAATGGTATTCTGTTGTATTTATCTTTATCTAATTAGGAAAAAAACTACTGTTAGATTATCACAGAAATTGTTCATCTCAGTTTCTTTCTTTTTTTTAAATTTCCCGAGATCATCTCTAATATCTCAAACCAACTATCACGAATTGTTCATATCAAACATAGAAAAAAGTGAAGACAGATTGTATAACTAAATGTATCACATTAAATCGCTTGTTTGATTCATACATTCACTATGGTTACAAAACAGACATATTCATCTAATTGGCAGTTCCACATAACATAAATATTGCTTTCATATTATCATCATCATTATATTTATGTGGATAGTTGAACTTCAAAAAAAACACATGAAGTCAACTCTATTATGATTTATGCTTCGTTTGTCTCAATTATTTTCACTAGCAGAGTAAATGATATTTTACATTTTGTTACTGACTGTCTAGGCATTACAGATTGGAAATCCTGTTGATTTCGTTTGTAGACTCTTTTTTTCCAGTTTTTATCATATTTCAAATAATTGATTATTGTCCATTGATTTTGTTCATTACAACCAAACCTATTTCTTGTAGTCAGCATATTATAAGTTTGCTGTAATCTTTTAATTTTCCGCATTACACTGGAGATAGATTGACAAGTGTACTTACATACTGTTCTCCACACTTTGAACAAGTGAATCACAGCTTACACTTCAAACTGTATTTTGTTTATCATACCACTTTAATAATAATGGCTTGATGTTCAGAAATTTTGAACCGCTCAGTTAGTCCATCAATTATTTTTTAGTATAGCTAACTGTTCTACAGTTTCAAGAATTTCGTTCTTACAGTATTGACTAATATACAATGTGCGCATTAGTAACTAATTTCATGAGGTAACTCCAAATGTCTTATTGGGAACTCGTGAACAATGGAGCTCGAACGTGTTAGACAATGAAAACTAGTTGCACAATATCGTGGGTTGGTTAAAGTTGGGGATGTAAACCACTATTTCCCGACTCGGTGATTTAAAGCTTAAACAGTACTGTAAAAAGTCTGAAGTTCCTAGACTCGATAATAAGCAAGTTTAGGAATGCGTGATCTTATGATTATTTCCACCATAATTTTAGCACAATCTCACCGATGATAATTTATCACTCTATTGGACTTATTCAAATAGACCCTTCCCAACAGTTGTAGGCAAACATGTTTCTACAGTGTGAGGCTGGATCAGTAATAGGTCATTTTAAAACTCATGACTACTTGACTGAATGTTATGATTAGTGTTATGCTTTAATTCATCACATCTTTTCTGACATAAAACTAAAACTGCGACGGGTAATTTTCACTGTTATGAACCATTATAGTTGTGTTCTGATTGCTTATTAACCAGGGAATGCACTAAACTAATAATATTTATATTCTAAATACTTCTTTTCAGTAGTGCATACCTTTTACATAGATGTTAACATTATCTGAGCACTATGTAAACTCAAGAAATTATAATTGTCATGATACCATACTTCTTTCAATTCAATGTAAATATCGCTACACTTATATTAGTTACTTTTTTTACCGTATGATAATGCAAATAATATTTAGTTGTCACTATATTGTAATATTAGATTAATTGCTTACAACTTAAACTCAGAAAGTGCATGTAATATGAAATATTGAGAGCAAACATTTTCTACTTCTCCCATGAATTCATGAATACATCAGAGTAAGTAAGCAACTGTCGTGAATTTGTCTCATTTACGTTAGACTTGTAATTCCAACAATAACCATAATAGTAATAACAATAATTAAAATAATAGATGTGTCGTTTAAATGAAAAAATGAAGATAAATTCTAGATTTAATGTTTTCGGGTCACGGAAACATTAAAAAAATCAATATAGTTTGTCATAATCATAACAAAATAAAAATAGGAAGAAACAATGAAATTCAATTGATTGTTCTCATTTAAGATAAAAAATCAATTATGTGAATATTGATATTATTACTGCCTATGCATTGTCTTTTATAAACTCAATCTATGATGACACATTTTGTGTACGTGTGTGTGTGTGTGTTAAAGAAATACAGTTTCCAAATAGGAAATAGTAGATAATCAAAACATGAGACCAATATAATACCATATTGTTTATTGATGACTGGACAGAGAACACAATGATGAATGAAATAAGCATAAAATATTTAAAGAAAATGATTCACATCAGGTACATTAGTTTTAATGAGTATCCTTGTTGTTTCATTTATTTGTATAAGGGCGTATACTTGATAGATATAAGGAGAATGAGAGATTAATTTGTTAATTTAATTACATAGTTCAGCCAATCATGTGAGAAATAGACAAATAACTTTGTATCTAATAAATTCTGGTTACTCTTAGGTAATTCTAGTTTTTATTATTATTATTAATTGTCATAATCATCAACACCAACCCCATTTTTTCTTTCTCATCAATGTCAATGAAATTCTGTGGGGTTTGTTTTTTGTTATTCATTGAAATATACAACTGAATAAATATTACAATATGTGAATATTTGTGTATGTAAACGCTTATAGATTATGTACAACACATTTTTCTGTTTGTATTAGACATTTTGCCAATATTTCTTTTCAATGATGCTGACGATGATGTAGTTAATGTGACAACTGCAACTTGTTCATCTTCATTCAACTTCATCCCTCTATAATAATAACAGTAAACATTAATGATAACATATTTTGTTATTTACATTTATTGTATATGTAAACAATTGAGTTATTTTAGATAAAAAACAAATAAGTTTAATAAAATAATTGTTATCATGAATAAGCAGTAAAATTCATCCTCACAATGTAAATTAGTAACTATCTAGACTGAGTGACCTAGTGGATAACACGTTGAACTGAGTTCGAGTCTCGAAGTAAACAGTCCAGATACGACTAACTGATGTATTCTAATTCCAATAAAAACATACATTTTAGATTCCACTGCTAACTTTAATCCAATTTCATTGAAATACTTTTGACCTAATGACAATATCAAAACAATCTGCACTGGTGTGTAGAAATGTTAACCAAAAAAATATATATATACTGATCAAAATCCACTCTTTAACATTAACAACGAATAGATTCAAACACTTATAAATAAACAATCGTTATCAAATTATTCAATGATCAATGTAACATAAATTTAATTGACAAGAAACAAAGATGAAAGTGGAGGAAAAAAAAGGAAAATAAAGAAACAACTGTTTATTAATATTTAGTTTACATAGAAATAGTTCCACATGATCCAGGGGTTTAAATTGATGAAATTTTTAAAATAAAATAATAACTTTGTTTCTTTACATTTATAAATGAAATAACAATGCAAGAATTGCTAAACTAATGAAGGTTTTGTTGGCTGAAACATTATTATACACTAGATTTAACATTATTTATTAGAAGGTTATCAAATGGATATTATGAATATGGGGTACTATTCACTTTAATACTCATTAATAAGATTAGACTGACTTATTTTAGTATTTTAAAACTTAAGATTCTTTCTTATTTTCAATTTCCTAACAAAAATTCTTTTGATTCATGAAAAGAATTTATTTTTCTTATATAGCATAATGTAATTCCACATGATTAGAAGAATAGTCATAATGTAAGGTTAAAATAAACTGTTTCAGTGATTTTGCTTTAAATAGGGATTGTTTATAAATCAGCAGATTTTACATGCTATAATTAAATTCAATACATCTAAAATGGAAAAGCAATAAAACAATTAAATTTAACCTAACTCCATCTGTCGCCCTTTTAAGGCTACTGCCGGTCCCAAAAGCGAGTAAAGGAGGAGGGTTGGGCATCAAGTCAGTAACCCCGTAGAAAACAGCCATGCTAAAAGACTCCAAACAGAATAAACAAACTAAACCGTCTAAACTATGAACTACGAGTTGAAGGATCTGCATGCACAAAAATTATGACGCCTCATAGTGAAAAGCCGAGATTCTTCGGAAGTCAAGGGGACGATGACCTTCTAACAATCACAGCAACAATTAATATTGGTACATGCAATGTTCGGACAATGTGGGAGACCGAGAGGACTGATTCATTAGCTACGGAAATGAGGAGATACAACTTGATGGCTCTCAAGATCAGCGAAACCCACTGGACCAAAGCAGGACAGAGAAGGTTAGACACGAGGGAAATGCTGTTATACTCTGGTCACGAAGAGGAAAATGCTCCACACACTCAGGCAGTTGCCTTGATGCTATCCAGTGAAGCACATAATGCACTTATACGATGAGGATCTGATGGATTCAGGATCATCAAAGCATCCTTCAAAACAAAGAAGGAGGAAATCACAATAAATGCTATCCAGTGTTATGCACCTACCAATGATAACAAGGACGACGATAAAGATCAGTTTCATGAGAGACTGAAATTCATCATGACGAAGTGCTGATAAACGATATTACCATCCTGATGAGAGATCTAAATGCCAAAGTTAGAATGGACAACACCGGGGATCAAGATATCATGGGACGACACGGACTGATTGAGAGAAAGGGACGAGAACCGTAACAGATTTGCAAATTTATTTGCTTCCAACAAATCGCTTATAAACACTGCAATATTCCCACACAAACACATAAACAAAGTTACATGGTAATCACCAGGTCACACGAAACACAATGAGATCGAACATATTTGCATCAGTAAAAATTAAGAAGGGAAATGGAAGATGTGAGAACCAGGGGAGAAGCTGACATAGCTTTAGATCATCACCTGATTGTAGTTGCCAAAATGAAACTGAAGCTAAAGAAGCGATGGAAAACTGGGGAAACAGCATTACAAAGGTTCAATGTAGTCTTTTTAAGAGGTCCTAACAAACTCAGCGAATTCAAGATTATTCTCAACATCAGATTCAAGAATGGAAGAGCAAAAAGACAGTGATTAACCACAGTCGAACACGAACAGAGAAAGTCAAGGCAAAACCTGAATTCACAGGAGCAAATGAGAGAGCGAAAAGGGGCATTAGAGCTGACAACCAGAAATATATGGAAGACCTAGCAACGACATCGGAAATAGCTGCAATCGAAGGAAATATCAAACAACCATATGACAAAACGAATAAGCCAGCACACAAATATAGTAAACCAGAGAGATCGGTCATGGACAAAGAAGGCAAGACACTCACTGAGATTTGAGAACAGAGGAACAGATTGGTGAAACACTTTGAGAAACTCTTGAATAGACCAGCTTCATTGAATCCACCGAACATCGAAGCAGCACACACAGACCTTCCCATAGATGTCTATCAGATCATCAAACAAATCAAGAGTGGGAAAGCAGCAGGACCTGAAGATATATCAGCTGAAGCTCTGAAGTAACCACAAACATGATCCACACTCTATTCAAAAAGATTTGGGAGGAAGAACAAATGCCACTGACAGATTGAAAAGAAGGATACCTCATCAAAATACCAAAGAAAGGAGATGAGAACTAAGCTACAGAGGCATCACATTACTGTCGGTGCTAAGGAAAGTTTTCCACAGAGTGTTTCTGAAACTGGTGAAAGATTCAGTAGACACCCAACTTCAACAAACCGGATTCAGTAAGGGCCGGTCGTGCACCGACCGAATAGCGACAACACGGATCATCGTTAAACAATCAGTTGAACGGGACTCGTCACTATACATAAACTTCCTTGACTATGAGACGGTGTTTGGCAGTATGGATAAGAGAACCTTACGGAAACCTCTTCGACACTATGATGTACCTGAGAAGATCGTCAACATCACACGAAATTCATACGACGTACCACACTCCAAAGTCGTATATAGAAGACAGCTGATAAACGCATTCCAAGTGGGGACCAGAGTCAAACAAGACTTCTTACCATCACCCTTTTCCTTTCTACTGATGACTGATTGGATTATGACGATCACAACATCTGAGGGTAAGCACAGAATACAATGGACAGCTCGGAATCAATAAGAAGATTCGGACTTCGCAGATGACTTGGCCCTTCTATCTCATACAAATACAGATGAAGACGACTAATGTATCAGCAGTCTTTGTATCAGTAGGACTCAACATACACAAGAGAAAAAGCAACATTCTCAAATACAGCACGGAGAACACCGACTCAATAACACTTGATGGAGAAGATAGGGAAGAGGTGGAAACTTTCATGTACCATCGATAAACAAGGAGGATCCGATGCAGATGCAATGGCAGGGATTGGCAAAGTAAGGATGGCATTCATACAGTTGAACATCATATGGAACTCGAAATAACTATCAACCATTATCAAAGTCACAATCTTTAATTTCTATGACTTTGAAATTTAATTTTTACCATAATGTACACTTTATTTCAAACTTTATTCGTTAGCTCTATATATCTTTATCTGGATATTACTTTTCAATGTTCATTTATTAATGGTGAATTTATTCAAAATTATATGTTTAGTACAATATAAAATTCTCATTACAAAGTATTTCAACAAAGTTCTTTTATAATACAAGAAAAAACGAAAAAAAACCCACCTATAACTGGATACATACATTAAATAAATAAACTACTTGGAATGTAATGAAATGATTTTTTATGCAGAAGATTTGAATCTGTACAACATTGTTATTAGAAACATCTTTAAGAATACAAGTTAATGACTATTAGGTCAACTCTAACAATCTGTTCGTCAAATGGTATATTTGTTAAATAAACTGTTATACAGCTTACATATCTTTGCTTGCATGTATGAATTCTAATACATGGGCGCCTCGTCTTACCAGAAGATATGCAATTATTTATTTAAAAAGTAAGTAAGATAATAAACAGGTGTATAATCGCATTTTAAAAGAGAATCTTTTATTTTTCATTTAAGATATTGCATATGATTATCATTAAATTGAATAATTCACTAATCTGAATTCAGTGTTTATTGATAATATCATTATTATCCTCATCAATATAAGTGTATTCCTATACTAAATATGATATACTAATAGTATGAAAATTGTATACGGAATTAGTATCTTGAAGTAATTCATAATAGAGATGTACCTTCTTCCTGTCTTCTCGATCCTCTAAGAAGAAAATATTTGGAATTCTAATAGATTGGCCATCAAGGGAGACCAATGATGAGGTATTTCAGATGCCATAAAAACGACTATCTGATAAAATGACGAATTTGGTCAACTCGGATAAAATACTTAGTAATCGTATTATAGAAGAGAATAGTTAATGACTTAAAGTAGTTTCCAACCAAACATTTTATTTCAAAGTGAAACTGAAATAGGATTTCAATACTAGATTTTACCTAGTTTTATTATTCCCATTGTCAAATATGAATCTTTTAGACAATGTGTTGTTATTCTATGCACTAATCTTGATTCGATCAGAATATGTAATTTCCGTGAAAACTAGTTGTGTTATATATTATTGTTTTAGTATTTCATAGAACACGGACACTGTGAAATCGTTTAACACTCGGTTTATTACTTCAATAAATATTCGAATAAAAAACTAGCCTAACTGTTCAAATTTTCAAGAAACATTCTTGTTTGGTTATTTTTATTTTCATATGTTATTTGTAATTTACTACTAATTAACAGCCATTTAACTGATATTGGCTTTATTATCAGTTGTTATACTGTAGGAAAAAAAATCATCAGATATTACTGAGAAGAAAACATTTTTTTGGTCCATTTACATTTATTTCTGAAGAATAAAAACAATAGTTATTTAGTCTATTGCTTTCCTCAAGAGAAAAGTTAAATTATTCACTGAATTCAATATGTCATTTACATGGTTGAAGGGATGATATTTTATGTTATTTGACAAAGTTAGAATTGCTTAAGGTTGAATTCTTAAACGATCGGCATTTAAGTGTCGCAACTCAAATGTCATTTATCAGTCACAATTCTTAATTAAGAGCTTGTTTTTACAATAAATTATATATATAGTTCTTAAATTTAACTTACTCCGTAAGTAGTTCAACAGCTTCTGTGATATTATGCTTGCTTAATACACTTGTTTCAATGAATGAAACATGATGTAACTGAAAAAGAATGAAGCGAAAATGTTCAACACGATCAGTGTTTTTCTGTATGCGGTTATCAGAAAAAATGTTAAATAATTAATACGAATTCGCATTCTACAATATATATTAAAATTATTTAATTATTCAGTATAGTTTGATCATTTAATTAAAAAAATATAAAAAAAATCCTTCGGTATCTAGTTCTTATGAATAGATTGAAAGAAACTTTACGGCAGTCTTTTCGGCAATGTTGATATGGATGTATGATAGAAATGTATCACACTAATCTCATATTATAACCGATAGGCGTTTTTTTAATCGAATATTTTTAGGGGCATTTAAGATGGGAGCAGTAACAGTTTTACACATTAGCTTTCAAAAGAATTTTAGTGAAAACTCAAAAATACAATAAAACTGAATATAAACAAGTAGTACTGGCAAATATATGTCAACAACTTTGATAATCTAATGTTTCTCTGCTAGAAACCATATTCATAAATCATTTTAAGTCAATACATATTCTGTCTTAATGGAGATATATACCATTACATGAAGGGAAATACATCAATACGGTTTATCGATTATTATTATTTATTAAGAGATAGCTCTTCTAAGGTTACTGCCGGTCCCAAACCTGGGTAAAGCAGGAGAGTTGGGCATGAAATCTGTAATCTCATCGCATAGAAAACAAGCTCGCTATAAGACGCTAACCAGAATAAACAGTTTAAGGGAGTAAGAGGTAGACGATTAATTTACAATAATTTTTGAATAAACTGATTATGTTATGCAGAATGAAACATTTCTCACTTACTTTAGCTACATTGGCACCCATTTCATATGTGATGTACTTGTGCGATTCATCTTTTTTCATATTATCATTATTATTATAATTTTCTTTAGTATTGTTACCACTGGTATTGCGTAAATCAACTTTATTACCAACTAGAAGAATTGGAACATTTTCTTCACTTGTTGATTCCTTTTTATCAAACAAAAAGCGGTTTTTGAAAAAAAAGTTGTCAGTAATAAATTTAATGAAGATTGTTTATTGAATTTTTGTAAAGTTACACGTACATATGACTTGAATCATATGATTCCATTTTTTTTGTCTCAATGATTATTAATATGGTATTTAACCACAACTAATATCACTACGTGTGGAATAGTTAATTTACCACATCATATGCTTCAGTAGACACAGTCAGAAAGTTTCACGAACTATATATATATATATATGATACTTAATTTTACTATGCAATATAATCTGTTGAAGATTATTTGCGTTTTGTAGACTGAAATGTAATCTTTACTTATCCTTGATCATTGAGCATATCCAGGTTCGTGATTCACCCCACAAAGATGAAGTATTTAACCAACTAGTGTTTGAATTGGATTTACTTAGATGGTTATTAGAATCACAAATGGTTACTGAATTTGAAATCATTGATTCAAGTTGGTGAATAATAGTTCAAATCTTGATTTCTTTCCAACATGATTATTCCTAGATCCAGTATACACTGATAAGAATATTTAGGTGGTATTGTATCTAATATAAACATCCATAAAATTTTCTACAAGAACTTATTAGCATAAAAATTGATTGTTGAGTAGTAAGTCTCAAATTCACATGAAAGTCTATAAGATGAAATATACGGTGTTTATAAAAAGTTTGGTGATTCCGAATGATATCACTTGTTGAATAACTAGTTAACCCATCAGTAAAGATATATTTTTATCCTCTAATTCAATATGAAATGACTTTGATTATCGCAGTGTTGATATTTCGGCAAAATTTGACCAGCCTGGGTTCTAGTCCCGGAGTGAAGATCAACTATGGCATTCAGGTATGTCAAGCTGACAAGTACCAAATAGGACGAAGTGAGCGTCCTGGATTCCACTGCTAGCCACATTCCATCTTAGTATTCTTCATTTGTGATTAAAAGAAATCGCTAGAGACTTCGTAGGAAAGAAGTAACAACGGCATATGCTATTTAAAATGTAAAGCTTGAAATAGTGTCAGTGGTTAAACAGTTCATGTATGAAATAACGTGTCATTTATTGGCTTACTAACCTCTAGCTAATGGTAGAACAGTGTAATATCATATATGATATATTAAAAATATAAAACAAATGAGAACTCTTATGCAGATGAATTGCGCAATAAAAGAACGAGCTTCCTATAATCTAGGATGGACAAACCTTCATCTGTTAATTAAATCATCAATAATAAACAATGAGAAATAATTGTCTTTGTAACATGACATCTACTTTGAGAACAAAACTTTCCTTCATTAGACTATCTAATTTACAAGACTAGAAGTACCAGTATTTTAACACACATCTAGTTATAATTACGATCGATATTGAAAACCTTTGAATGCTGACTAAGTTGCCCTTGTTTTGAGGTCTGAAGGTCTTGGGTTCGATCTCCGAAAAGGTTTTGAATAAGCACTATTGAGGAGTCATATGCTAGGACAAAGCAGTTATCTAGCTCACTATGTGTTTCAGTGTTGACATGGATAATAATGAACAATATTCACAAATCCTGTATGCTGATGTCAAAAAGTTAGCTATCTAACTATCTAGTTAGTAATCCAGTTACACATTCTGACATTATTCAAACAATCCATGTGACAGTTGCTAACCGACTGGTAAATATTTATAAAAAAAATAGATCTCTATGCTGAAAAATCCGATCTTCACAAAAATCAGCAATATTTACCTAATTCTCTGACAACACTAATCTTTAATCAGAAATATGATAAAATCCACCTACTTTTATCATTTCCATCCAATATTTGATATTTTCAAATGTATCAGGTTGATCAACTGCATACATTAAAATTACACCGTCAATTTTCCGGAAATATGAACGGACAATGCAACGATACCTAATAAAAAGAAACGTATCAAGAATAAAATGTATTTATGCACTGACCATTGACTAAATGATAAAGTAGACGCTTTTTTTCATATTTTCTTAGACATTATTAAACTGGTCAGCAAATAATTAATGAATTGTTAAACACAAGTGTATTCTGAGAGAGAAACTGCTCATAAAGTGAAAGAGATATAAGTTTCAGTTATAATCAATATGGAGCCTGACATAAATATGAATTAGCTTAGATTTTCATCCGACAATACAAAGATAAAACGAGACAAGATAAATACCAAAGGAATCGAGATGATGCAGTACCAATTAATAATGGCTTCATTCAATATTATATGCCGAATATACGATGAAACTCTCAACATAAAATATTTTAGCAAGTTTCTCTTACACTCTTTATATAAAAATATTTTCACGTATATACGTGAAATAAGTAAAGAGGTTATGTAAAAATGAAATATTAGAAAAAAAATGAAGTTCTATACAATTGTGAATACAAGTCTTTGATCAGATTAATTCACACAATCTGTTAGTCTTACAGTGGATGCGCTAGACACGGTACTGCAGAGCTTTCGTACTTTTCTTTTTAATTATGGTCTCTAAGGTATCCACATCTCGTTTTACCAGAAAACATACAAGGAGAAAGATTTGTATGGAGTGGATGATTAATATCTTATAAAATAATACTTTTCACTGGTTTGCAGGATCTAGAATGTCTATCAGGAACCGAATTCATCATTATATCAAAAGATTTACCCCTTACCTTACAAACTCCCTTAAGTATTCTCCACAACACAAAAAAACCTTTTCTCAAAAGCCCAGGAGGGAACAATAGCTAATTTGTCGATCGTAAAAGTAAATGTTTGGTAATTCCAGGAGCATATAGAAAGTTAGGCGAAAAAATACTTATGGTATTAACAAGGTATGATAAGAACAAGAGAGACCAGAAAAAAATACACCAAAACAAATTATGTTTAACAGTTTTGATAGAGATCCCTTAATAACACAAACTTTATGTGATTCTAACATAGTGTTTAAGTGTTTTCTATGCACTAGGCTAAAGTTAGTGGTTCAGAAGTCGGATGTATTAGATCCAAGATCAATAAAAACAGACCTTCGTTCAATGAGTGTAAAAAAATGGTGCATTACGAGTACATTTGAATAGAAGGAAACTGATGTACATACAGTAATGTCATCCGCATACTTAAATTAACTGTTTCTGATGGAAGACCATTCAGAAAAAAAGAGGATGGAAATGGAAAAATAATGGCTCCTTGTTGCGCATCAGCTTGATTTAATAAAGCAGTAGGATACATTCTACCAAGCACAGTATAATACTCTCTTTCAGCAAGTTGGTTATCCACATTTTGATGTTAACATTGTCAAACAAACATAATAATTCTAGTCTTTGAACACAGTCAAAGGTAGGTGTATGACTGGACAATGCACGTCGAATATATTTCCTACCCGTTTTCAAACAGAAAGACGGAACATCAGAAACATGGTTTGAACATACCTGCACAATTCTGAATGATTCTGAGACATGTCGTCTAACACCTGCAACCACTGATCACAATTATTGCACAAACCCCAACCTGATAGTTTATATCTACCTACATACTTCAGGCTTACACTCAATGATTTCATGGATTGACGTCACATTTTGGTTTAAGAGCCACTAGCCTTCTTCCAAACCATTCCAACATCAATAAATATTACTTGTCAAGTTAGATGATAGTTCATTATACATAACACATGTCCTACCCACATCAGTCAGTGAGGATTTACCTCATCAACCGATTTGCCAACCTTTCCAAGTATCATATGTCTAATCACAACATTGTTCGCTCAATCACCATACGATATCATAATTTTATTATTGTTCTCAATTAAGAAGTATTAGCATTGTAATCAAAGAGTAGTTAACAACCGGCACTAAATAATGAGCTAATAACACCATCTTTTTTAGATTGACTATCGTTAAATTATTCTTTTGATGAGCTGTCATTTGTTTAAACAACAGATTAACAAGTCTTTCAAAAAGAACATTTTAATATATGAGGAAAAATGATGTGAAATTTTATTTCATTTTGACAATAAATCACCGAAAGTAGATAAACCATGAAAGTCTGTCATAGTGAATAAGTATCATTGACACTAAGAAAATAGTTGTAACCGTTTGTATCTAAAAAAACAAATCTTTTTGTAAATATACATATATTGAAGATGAAAAATAAAATTAACAGGCTATCAGAATAATCATCTTCAATAATCTCATATCAGTTAGTATATCTATCAGAACATTGAGAATGTATTGAAAAATCTTTTGCTTGAATAAAATTTTAATACCTAAATAATGAAAATTTTCTAGTATTTTCCATTAATCCAATGGAACTTTTCACTATAACTGTCTAGTTAATCTTCATCTCAACAAAAATAATCTTGAATGCAAATGAAGATTTATTTATTTACCAACTATGAATTTCATCATTAATCTCTAACTGATTAAAAAGACATTGAAAATGATGTTATATATGTCGTTTATTTAACAGGTTAATAGTCACGTTTGAATACATTAAAATAGGTAGGAGTTGAAATCGATTAAACAACAACCTGATATGTGTATTTAATTTACAACATCAAAACATCAACTGCTTCAACTAATAAATATAACTACATAAATGAATTACATTTTTTTTCTCACTTCTTCTTAATAGTTTACAACTTACGTCTCTTGTCCAGCAGTATCCCATAATTGAATAGTGTACACTGAATTATTCATTTTAATATTTTTTGTTCGAAAATCAACTCCTTTAATAGAAAAAGAATGATAAACAACTGATTGAAACAAAATAACTTTTAAACATAAATTTTGATATTATCACTAGATTATAGATTTCTGCTATACAATCTAAACTAGTAATTTGAAAAAAAGATGATACAAATTAAGTTGACAGAAATGTTATTTGATAAATTAGTTGATTCATGTGTAAATAATTGAAGGTAGTCGATAGGAAACAATGGATCTAGGTTTCGTGCTATTTAACACCCATCAGAAACACCTAACATTTCAATATAATGGATATGATATCGAGTCACTTAGACTTGTATCTACATTACAACTTGATCGACAGATATTCGACTGGCATAAAAAAAACTAAACAAATATGACCGTAATCATTACCAAGTCATTGACTAGTTGTAATTTGTCTACGGCTGACGAAACTACTGAAAATACTAATCTAAGATGTAAAGCACTTAAAATCTATCGAGAACAGATCAGCTGTTTTGTGTCATAACAAATTTACATGGTTCATTTGTAAATAACTTCTAGATTGAATTAACTGCTTTCTACAATTTATTCTTCAAATTCCACCTTGGAAGTATATTTCACTAACTGAATCATAACCTGGGAGCACTGGACCGCCGTTTCGTCCTAGTATGGAACTCCTCAGCAGTGCACATTCACAATCCCGCACCCCGCGAGATTCGAACCCAGAACCTATCAGTCTCGCGCCAGGCGCTTCAACTGACTCATGATTTTAATCAGTGAAAATTCCTAAAATCTTCACAAAACCCCTTCTGAATCATAATCATTGAGAAACTCAGAATGGTTATTTTTAATGAAATACAAAAACAGTAAATGTTGATGAAAAAATTACTTATTTCTTCTTGAAATTGTTAAAACTATTTATTCAACTTACCTAAAGTAGCTCTAAGTTGTGGATAAAATATTCCATCACAAAATCGATATGAGAAACTAGATTTGCCAACACCTGAATCCCCGACTAAAATCACTTTAAATATACGTGTTGGTGTTAAAGTTTCTGTAGGGTGTTGTTCTTCAGTATTATTTTCGAGAGCTATAAATTCATTCTTATCATAATTGGAACCACTGACACTGCTAATGTTCTCACTAGAGTAATCAGAGCGTCGACATGTGGAATCAAGATGATGATTTTGTTGGCGTTGAAGTGGTAGAATATTTTCCAAACTATCAAATTCGTACGGCTAAAATGTGCGAAATAAATGAAAATTAAGACGCTTTTTTGAGTTCGTTCTCTACTATCAACTAAGTTAAGTTAGCTAGAGACGGTACAGCTACTGTAAAATATCACTCAATTTGGTCAATGTGAAAATCATGGGGAACCTTAGTGTTTGGTAACTAATAAAGAGATGTTTTTTCTATAAAAATAATAGTTGATTTTAAACCTACTTTGATGATGGGATAATAATGTCTCATTGAGGATCATATAACCATATTAATTGGTTCAAGTTATTTACAACATGGTGACTATGATAAACAGGACCTAATCAATTATTAAACTCAAAAGTACCGAAAGTAAACTTATAAGTAGAGTGAAAAAAACATGATTTAAAACCAGCAGTGAACAGTTCCTAGATAATATATATAATATATATATATATATATATATATATATATATATATATATATATATATATATATATATATATATATATATATTTAATCTGACCACCAACAAAATACGGTATTCGACTATTTTTGTTATCTACGTTCAGAATATGATTTGAAAGGTTAGGAGAGTGGTCCATTATACAAACTATATGCTTCACAACTTCCATAAGAATCGTGATATGAAATAATCAAAATGAAATTCAGACATCTCACATATCAGCTGCATTAATTTTATGATACAGATCGATGATCCAATGAAAGATAAGAGACTATTGTTTGACGGTTAAAATACCAAAATTTATCAATAACCCAGTGGGTAGCATTTTTTAATCTTTGCTCAAAATTAGTATCTCTGGGATGATTGTTTGATTGAAAACAGATTATTTATTCACTGGATCCATAAAGAGCGGCCTGCTTGAGCATCTGGGCTACCTGTTCCTGCCATCTAGATATTTCAACAAGTTATCTATTTTTGTTTGTTTTAATATATCATTATGTTTATTAATCTCATTACCTATTCTGCTGAGTTTCTGAAAAATGTACAACCTTTCGTTGTCAAAGATACAAAAAACTCAATAACAGACAATGTGGTTGCTGGCAATATACAGCGAAAAGAATGCACATTATTCAGATGTTCATTTAGTGAACTGCTAACATCTAACTGGCGATCACTCAATATTTACCGCCAGGACCGATCAAGAAGAAAGAAACGGAAACTTGTTGAAATACTTTACGCTGAGAATTCTATATTGTACCAAAAATATAATATTGAATAAAGCTGATGATAATAATAATAATAATCTGTAAATCAACACAATAGATGTACCAATTGGAAACACAACCCATCAATCGTTCACTTTTAGTATAAGATCATTGCTCAGTAGGATAATAATTCAATACATTGATATCTTGAATTGCAGGTTGTAAAGCTTAAAACACTTAGTAGAAAAAATTTATATGTTACATCAGAATTCATCTAAACTTCTGAAGTATTTCAGTCATTCAGCTACAACGTAGGACCAGGCACATATATGCATCGGCCCAAGTTGCCATATCTCATTAACACAAGGTGAATACCGGATTCATAAATGTAGTTACTTCAGAGGTGGTAATATGTAAAAGAAAGATTGCATATATGGATATAGTACAGGGAGAAAGAATTAGTTCGTGGAAAGAAAGATATTGAGCGATCTCAATCTCTTAGTTTAAGGGAAGACAGAAAGTGTATACACCTACTCCATTGTGATCGATTCTGAGCCATGTCAACAAGAGTCTCCAACCATTGATTACGATAGTCACGCGGACCCCAACCAAGTAGTCTGCATTTCCCAACATATCTCAAACTAGAAGTTAGTGACTTCAAGCACTGATGTCACGTTTTGGTTTGGCCGCCCCTAACGTTCTTCCAACCAACTCCAACACCAGTTAGTATTGCACGTCATGGTAATCAATGTTCAGGCATACGTAACACGTGGCCCAACCATCTCAGTCAATGAAGATTCACAGCCTCATCAACTGATTTACCATCATTCCCTAATACCCTGCAGGGTCTAACCTGAAGTATTTACTATTAGTCAAATTATGATTCCATTAATAAAGTACATTGAATAGATATATATTAAACTGCACAAAAACATTAGATACTTAAGAAATATTTCCAATCATCATATATTAATTAAATTAATATTCTAACATTTGCTAAACATCATAACAATAAATATAAAAATGCATAAAACTTGTTCAAAATCCAATTAAACAATTCATTCTATATTATTATTATTATTACCCAATATACGTGCTCGTATATGGTTAAATCAATGTTTGTAAATATTATATTTATTATAAATTAGAAACTGATCTCATATGAGATTTAAAATATTTTTATAAAATAAATATAATCTAGGTATGTACTTATTATTGGACATTAATAATTGTCCTTTATTCAGTGTTATTAACAGGATTTACAAATAATGAATAGATCATTAATATACAATTTAAATACATTAGTCATATGCAAATTCTTAAATAAATAAAGAAAAATAGTTTTATACAATGTCCATCAAATTAATTTTCTTTATTTATTTATATTTATATACTTTTTGATTTAGTAATGATGATATCAATCATGAGATATTTAAATAAATTAGCCGTTTGTGATTGATTTCTCAAAAGTAAAATTTTACTTTAGGTCTTTTAATGGAGAACATATTTTCAAATGATATTTTCTTGTTTGATAAACATAAGTTATTGCTACAAGACACCTTTCTATTAAATAATATTTCTTTTATAGTGGAAAATTACAAAAAACCGGATACAGTGAATGGTAAGTTTATTTATTTGAACACACAAAAACATTGATACAAGAAGACACCGAATACATATGCGCCAGACAATAACAATGAGGTCAGTAGCAGTTTGTGTGTAGGCTGTGGTACTGACGAGAAGGCAGTGAGTAGGATTTCCCTGACAATGGCTGTATACGCATGGCCATGTGAGAATATTTCAAGAGGGACTCTCCCCACCCTTAGCCGTACTACGGCATTTGTGGGCGTGAACCGTTAAACTATGACTTGGTATGCCAATGATACAATCTAGATTCTTGAGTCAATACTCCTATTATGTGGTTGTTCAATCCTTAATTACTAGGATAAAACAATTATTAAGATCCACTCTCTAATATTCAATAAATCACCATCTGATGATAATCTTCAATGAAAATAATTTTTAAGTTGAATGGATCTCCATCATCTCCTTCTGCCTAATTTATACATTTTTCACAGTTTTAAATGTCATCAACTGAATTAGAAACCACCTTATTTTTGTTCGACTTCACAAGTTAACAGTTATACTTGAAATAACAGTCTTCTTAAGAATATTTTTAAGGGTTATTAGGTCATGTAAACATATTTAAAAAACAATGAAATCTAAGCAACATTTACGTTTTCAGTATGCTGTAAAATCAATATCGAAAAATACTGAAAACAATCAGTTACCATTATGATTAGAAACCGATTACAGGTAGACAAGTTAATGCATTGGAATACATAATTTTCTTTGTGGCATATATACTTACTGAAACTTACGATATTATTATGACGTGGCAACGAATGAGTTGATATATGAAACATCCAACCCCTTAAGTAACCAATAGGAAACGTCTGTGATTCAATTTTTAACTTACCGATCTATGAATTGTCTAATTACCCCACTTCAGAAAGAGACATTTTCTATGCATATATTTACAGCAAATTAAACAATGTAGTTATTTATGATAATGAAAATATACTACTTATGGACGATTTGTCCGTTTACAGTAGTATTATTCTTCATACTAAACTTGAGTCAAAAATCTATTCTTTGTTTTGTAAATCACTATCTTAAAAGTGAAAAAAAACTCTAACACTTAGAAACTTTAGAATTTATGATAGAAACTGAACGTGATACTGTCCAGTAAACTGTACGAATTACTACTACTTCCAAACATATTGAACAAAGAATGTTAGTTCTAATATAATCCGATAGAATTCTATATTATAAATTAGACACGTTTTATCGTCCTGAATTTAGGAGGGAAATAGGTAAACAACTAGATCTTTACAAACACAACATAAAAACATATACATATTCATACAACTATACACACAAACAAAAATGAATTCGTACATGTACACATAAAAATGAAAATAAGAGAAATAATCCGTTACAAAAAAGATAAACAACAATTTAGGATGTAAACAACAACCATTAGTTAATACCAAAAAGGAAAACAACTAGTGAGAAAATTCTCATATTAATTTTTGGTTATCACACCAAGTTTATATGAAATTTGAAGACCAGATAAATTGGAAACTGAATTGAATGTATATATATATATATATATATATATATATATATATATATATAAGCCTAGTTAGCTTAGTAGTATGTACCTACTAGTTCAGATATAAACAAATATGAGCTAGAGTGAATGGATAACAGAGCTCATTTAGATCAGTAAATAATTCATGCTCGTAATAACGATACTAAAATAAATAATCAAGATGTTTGTGTTGAACAATTGTTAAAAGTGATCGACGGGTACAATAGGTATTTTCAAAAATGAGAGTTCTACTACTATCAGTAGTCGGTAGTAGATTTTTTAAACGAAATATATATATATATATATATATATATATATATATATATATATATATATATATAGTATCATATTACAAGCAAGTTTAGACCTGTCCAAATAAAACAAAGAAACTCTTCAATCATATTGAATAGGTCAGATAATATGTAAATGATTTAATAGATGGCCTGCTTTTTCCTGTCTTCAAGCTACAACATATTCCTATTCTATAAATTATGAATTAAATTAAAGTGATTATAAAAGATAAACAAATAGTGAATGATTGTTTATAGATTAATTTCTGGGTTATATTGTATTAATTAAGTGTTTCATTAAATTATTAATTCATTTTTCAAGTGTATTAAATGACTTTGTTTAAGAGTTTTACTCTTCTATCCATTCTTTTTTTTTCTTTGCTTCGGTCTCTTACTTTCTTTCAATCTACTTCCTGTAAAAAAA